GAAAACTTGCTATTTCAGGTTCTTCTACCCTGCATCAGTCTAAAATGAAGTTGCATAGCTCTTAGCAATTCTTAAGTTCCCCTTTCTTGTCATAAGAATGTACAGCTGTTTGCCATCATATGTTAATGACTAGTGGCACAGAAAGCAGGGAGGGGTGAAATTCAAATACAGAAGAAAGTATTTTGAGGTTAGGGGTTTTCCACTGTATCATCAAAATCCATTACATTTTTCTCAGCTTATATTAAATGCACAGGAAAGGTTGTTCAATAAAATACATGGTTATGTGTATAAGAACTTAACTTGTATATACAACAAATGATTAAAGAACACAAAACTGAAATTTTGAAGTTTCAATACAATATTTAATTGATTTTCACACAGAAGAGTTTTTACCATTACCAATTATATCAATATTACTTGAAGGATATATTAATATTAGGAGATTATGAAACTAATGCCTGAAAATGCTATATAGAAAAATTGCTTAAAAAATTTCTAGCCTACATCAGCCAGCCATAGTGAGAATTCTAGCACTTTTTTTTCCTTCTGAAAAGTGTAGGACTACATCCCCAAGGTAAATACTTCAGCTCTGTTAAAAAACACTCCTTTCTGTCAGAAGAGAAAAATATTCCAGGCATGCAGAGTTCTTTTTAAAACTTTATTGCAATGAAGGGAACAGAAAGGAACAGTTTCCTTCCCATTCTTCTGTTCACCTGAGCACATGTTCACACACCCCTTTTGAACCCTGCTCCCGGCCGCTTGTTCCCTCCTCCTCTCCCCTAATTGGTTAATAGGGTACTGAGAGTTACATCCCCCCCCCCCCCCCCTACTCTGTGCTGCCCCAACACCAGCCCTGCCCCGGCTGGGTTACAATGGGCTCATTTTGTTCTGCCCAGCTTGTCAGTAAACAATCAGGAAGTATTTGGCCCTCCAGCCTACTTGCCTGCTTCCCCATACCTTGTGCTATCTGATTTTAGCCCCTCCCCTCCTTTGGGCTAAGTAATTTTGTTACCTTTTTAAATCTTTTACTCCCTTGTTTCAAGTCATCCTTTCACACCTATCAAGCTCTACTAAAAATTAGCCATATATCAATTTTTATTCTTTTGTTGTTGAGTATAAGGTTGTGTAATTTTTCTGTAGTCATGATTTTTGTTAATGTTCAGCTGCAGTCCTACTTTTACACTTCTTTCACTGTCATCATAAGTTGTTTCAATTCATTGCTGCTTTCTGCCAGTTAGCTGGTATAATCTGCATATTTTACTGATGTGGAAATTGGCAAAAGACATTCCTACCTCTGATCCTAATCTCTTTCTAAAGGGTATGTTCTGTATACACATTGAACAGAGAGGAAGGCAAAATGGCAGCTATGGTTGGTTTCCCTGTTGGAAACTTCTGTCCTATCAGTAGCTTCTTGTCCACAATGCAGGACAATTCAGTGCTCAGGTACACACATTCCCTTCATAACTATCCATAGTGTCTCATGATCCACACAGTCAAACGCTTTGCTGTATTCCAAAAGCATTGACTGAGCTTCTGAAAATCTTTGCTGTGCTGCAGTAGCCAATGTATATTCGCTATATGATCCCTAGTGCCTCTTTCTTTTTGGATTCTAGCTTGAATGTCAGCCATTTCCTACTCAATATAGGCTAAAATTTTCTTCTGCAATGCCTTGAGCATCACTTTGCTTGCCTGGAAAATTAGTGCAATGATCCTATTGTTGAGGCGCTCTTTTGCATCCCCTTTCCTGGCTATTGGGATGCCTATCGCATACTTCCAGTCCATGGGCAGTTGTTTTGTTTTCCATATTTGTTGGCATAGTCTTGTTAGGATTTCGATCGATTCAGCTTGGAATGGTTCTATTGGTACCCTGTCTATTCTGGGTGGGTTTTTTTTCATACAATACTTTGCTTTCTAATAGTGTAGGTTCTTCCTCTTAGGTTTCTTCTTTGAAGGAGACAGTCATCCTTTCATCTCATCTGTTTATGCTTCTGTAAATTCTTTTAACCCTTTCTTTATTTGCTCCTGATTGGATAATGTGTCCCACTGTTGCCTTTTAGCTTTCCTAATCTAGGTAAGAATTTCCCTTTGATTTCTTAGATCTTCTGGAAGAGGTCCCTTGGTTTTTTTTTTCATGATTCTGGCCCTATTCCTGCAACCTTTTGTTTTTGCTTCTAAGCAGTTTTGTGTGTTTGATGTGTCATCCATCTAGTTTGTTTGCTACAGAAATTGTCTTTCAGCATTCTTCCCTTCTGGTTGCTTATGTAGTTGAAATGGCACCATTGATAGGTTTAGGGGATATGAAAGGTTGCAGAAGTACAACTAAACCCTAAGGAAGAAAATCCGAGACATTGTTGAATGAGGGCTGTGTTGTTCTTGGTGGCCACAGAATGTAGGCTGATTATTGTGGGTAGGGGGACTTGCAAGAAGGACCTGCAACATTTTGTTGCTAATCCTACTTGTTAATCTTACTTTCTATTTTTGTCCCAGATCAGTGTGGTGCAACTAAGTAATCTTACTCAGTTTCAGCTCCCATGAAGTTTGGGAGTATTTGTATTGAAAACATCTTAGTACTTCCTTAGTCATGTTGACACATTATACTTTAGCACACAAAGGCCTTAGGCATGAAATGAAAGTTCATATTTTGGGGTAAAGGGGATGTTGACATGCTAATATTAACAGTACCAAATGTGTTGGTACCTTAATCTGCTGCCCTCCCCCATGAATCTAGGCGATGCACACAATTTGATTTTTATGAGCAGATAAACGTTATCATCTGCATAGCTTTGGCTGTGGGATGGTATAGAAATACAATAAAGAATAAATTACTTTAAGATGTGCAGTAACTTGTATTACTGATGTTATATCTTCACAATGCCATAGATGTGTTTGTAATGAAGCTTACAAGAAAGGAAGAAAGCAATAAGCAATGTAATTTAATACTGCTATTTCACTTACTTTACAGGAATCATGGGCCTGTTCACTTTGCAGTAAGTTCCACTGTAAGTTTATTTAGGATTGTAGTTTCAATTTCCTGATAGGGATTACTTTCCATAGGAGAGTTGTATAATTAAAGAGTGCTTCCATTCTGCAGGCTTGCTCAAGTTAAGTTTATGTAAGGAGCTACTGCAGTACTGCATAGATGGCAAAAGAAGAAGGGGAGGGCAGAGAATGAGGTGGTTTGATGGAGTCACTGAAGCAGTTGGCGTGAGTTTAAGTGGACTCCAGGGGATGGTGGAGGACAGGAAGGCCTGGAGGAATGTGGTCCATCGGGTCGCGATGGGTCAAACACGACTTCGCGACTAACAACAACAACTGCAGTGTAGAACTTCACTATAGGACAGGCAGGCATCCACATACACCAAATGTCTGTATGGAGTATTTAAGTTTACATTTAAGTTGAAATGCCTGCTTGAAGGCTTTGTGTGATCTGAATAGTGCACATGCAAGGTTCAAGATTCCATGGAAGCCATCACTTGCATAGCTGTACATGTGCCAACCTCATGTCAGTGTTTATTCTATATGTGTGGATGTCAGGAAGCAGGAGACTGCACAGTACCTTCACCTACTGGGGTCTAGCACATGAGGAATATTTCTGATTAGGCTTTTGTTGTTGTTGTTGTATTAGATTAGGCTTTAGTATACTTCAAAAAGGACTGTAGTTTTGTGCTATAGCATATACTTTCCATGCAAGACATTCTATACTCAGTTGCTGATACCTCCAGGTAGAGCAGGGCAAGCTTAGGCAGAGCCAGTGGCAGTCAGAGTTAAATGCAAATGATGAAACTGAAGTTTATTTTTTTTACAGCATTTCTACCCTGTCATTAACAGCACCTCAGGATGGCTTACAACAAACAATAAAAAGGAAAAAAAATCCACACAATGGATAATAAAAAAGTACAATCCACACAATGCAGTGAAAAGGTAGAAGTCAAAGGCAGACGATGAAAAGGAAGAGCAAGTATGAAATTGGTTCCACAAATGATGCCACAAGTCTGAATTTTACAAGAGTTTAGCAAGGCTGTTAGAGACAGGATATTTTGGAGGGCATTCATTCATTGGGTTGCCATAACATAAGAGCACATACAAAAATAACTTCCTGCATACATAATCTATTCTATTTCTTAAAGAAAATAAAAGGACATGCTTTTCTGCAAGTGTGGAAACAGGACTAAAATCCCGTCTATAGGAAAATATAAATTCTAGGGAGTATGCAGCTGTACTTTTATACTGGGGGTGATAAGCTTGCAGAATCTACTATAATTATTGGGGAACTAAGCTCCACCTTCTGAGCACTTAATACAAAAGCTATATTCTTGAAACTAAATAATGCTGAGTACCAGAACTGAATACCACTTCAACAGTATCATGTAGAGAAAATAGCGAATTATTTTGCTGCTACTCTTAAATAAAAAGGCAGAAATTCTTGCCAAACTACGGCAAATGATCCACAAATCTGTCCAGTCCTGCCTTACACAGTATCTTTATGTTTTCTGGCATACTGAGCATATATACCAGAAAAGGGCCTTTTGTTCATTCCTATCATACTGCAGTGCAATGGGATTTCAAGTGGATGAGAGATTCTGAGTGTCATTATGGTAGGAGTGGTGGAAGTGCTTGTTTTCTTAACATTTTTTTTTTGCTGGATCAAGATGCCTACCTGCAACCCCACCCCAGTCCAGTCCGACTCAGAAGTGCAAAGGCGCCCCCGCTCGGTCACCTTTCCGGAAAAGCACCAGTGTCAATGGAGTAACTCTCTCCTCGCGCTGCGTTCCGATTGGCTGAACAGTCAGGGAAAGGGGCGAGGTGGCACGTTCATTCACGTGATAAAGGCTAGGCACGTGTCACTTTCAGGCCGCTCCCTGGTGCACGGCTGGGTCCTAGCGCAAGCCTGCTCAAGTCTCCCGACAGGACTGCAAGGTGCCATGGAAGAAGGGGCATTGCCGACGAATGGGAAGGGGGAGACGGGGGAGGAGCAGCACCAGTGCATAGCTCCCGTTGCCATGAGCGGGCTGGAGGAAGAAAGCGAAGGCTGCGAGGGTCTCTGGGAGCTTCCCGTGGAGTGCAGCACGCGGAGGCCAGAGTGCATCCGCTGCGGGTGAGTGGAAAAAGCCAGGCCTTACGTTCCAGGGAAGTCACGTGTCTCTGCGAGGTGGGAATTCCCGTTTCGCGCCCTCTGCTGGTTGAGAGGCTGCTGCGCACGCGCTCGCCCGCTTTCTCGGTCGGTGCCTGGAAGGGTCCCCGTCGGCTTGCGTCGCTCGGAGCGGTGCTTGCCCGCCGCCTCTTTCCTGTCCTCACGTCTCAAGTTGGAGGAAACGCTCCGCTTGCTTGTAAAGAAGGCATGGTTAAGAAGGAGGAGTCCAGGGTGCGGTCCTAAGCATTCTAGATAGAAAAGCTCGCTACAACTCCAGGCATATTTTTGGACTCCTTGTTGTATGTAGAAGATTACATTCAGAAGCGTATTATTCCCTGAGACATTTTCTTATTGGGAACAACTTCTCTCTTTTTCAAGAAGATAGCCGTGTTGCTGTTTTGCAGTGTCTCGAAAGGCTAAGAAATTTATACTGGCACAATTTTCGTGGACTATAGCCCACTTCATCAGATGCATAGAGTATAATGGATAATATCTTTTGACAGAGACGCTCAAGTTTATATACAGCATCTGTGGGATTGCAGAAGAATAATAGGTTAAGAGTGAGGTCAGAAGGAAATTGAATTCAGAAAACGCGTATCTTTTGCTAGTATTCTTGTGTTGGCAACAACTGTCCCATGACTGAATATGTATTTAGTCATGGCTGTCAATACTTTTTGCACACAATAGAGTGCAAAAGTCTGCGTTCTACTACTATGACCAGTATTTATTAATCAACTTTATATCCCACCTTTTTTCCTTACAAAGAACTCAAAGCACTTTACATAATACTACTCCGACTCTCAATCTTATCCCCACAACAACAACCCTGTGAGGTAGGCTGGGCTGAGAGTGACCTACCCAAAGTCACCCAGTTGGCTCCATGGCTGAGCAGGGACTGGAATCCAAATCACCTGAGTCCCAGTCCCATGCTGCTCTTAATCACTACATCACACTGGCTCTCACGTAGATACTAGGAAAATTGACAGTCCTTGCAGCAGGGTTCCATCTTCAGAGGGCCCTTCCCTCTGCCCTCAGAACCAGTGTGACCTGTTTTGTATGAGCTGCCACTCTAAATAAATTTTGGGGATCCACTTGGGGAGAAGCAAGTACTTCCTCTCCACGTGCAGCATGTGCAAGGGCAAAAGATGTTGATGACTGAAACTGAGCTGTCTGTGCCTTTTGCAGAATAGGGGAATCCCACTCTTACGACTTTGGAAGGTTAGGGGCAGCCATGCAGGATGGCACCCTTAATTTTCTTGTAAGCGTCACAGTTATTTTTATGATGTCTCTGTATTTCCCAAATAGCCAAAGCATTCTGGGAGGCTTACAAAGATTAAAACCTTTTTTAAAAACTTAAAAGAAATAAAAGAAACAGGCAAATGTATAAACAGACGACACAGAGAGACATAGACATATAAAACAATTATATGTAAACAAGAAAAAATCAGGATCTGGGCGTTGTGTTCACATGACTCCAGTTCTCCATCAGCTTCACTGGCTTCCCATTGAAGTCCGGGCCCAATTCAAGGTGTTGGTGATGACCTATAAAGCCCTAAACGGCTTGGGTCCTGCTTACCTGAAGAAGCGCTTGCATCCATATATGCCCAGCCGCCCCTTGAGATCGCTGGGGGAGGCCCTTCTCCGGGAACCCTCCATGAAAGAAATTAGGAGGGCGGGTACTCGGAGGAGGGCTTTCTCTGCGGTGGCGCCTAAGTTATGGAACGCACTCCCCAGAGAGGTCCGCCTGGCGCCGTCGTTATTTGTTTTTCGGCACCAGGCGAAGACCTTTTTATTCAAGCGGCATTTTAACTGTTAACATTATTGGTTTTATCTGGCCAGGGTGGCTTATTTTATACTGTATTGTTGTATTTTTAATTTAATATTTATATTTTTAATTTATATTATAATTATTTTAACTTAATGATGTGAGCCACCCCGAGTCTTCGGCAAATGGGGCGGCATAAAAATGTTTTAATAAATAAATAAATAAATAAATAATGTGGCCAAATGCTTGAAAGAAAAGAATGGTCTTAACCTGACTGGCACGAGGCAGGCCTTCTCAAGAGGATCATTCTATAACAGAGGGACCACTACCAAGAAGGCCTTCTTCTCTGGTCACCTTACGAACCTCCGTCAGAGGATGCACCTGGAGAAGGGCCTTAGTAAGTAAGGTATACAGGTAGGTTCAGATAGGGAGAGGGGATCCATCAGTTCTCACTGCGATCTACCGACTTACACTGTAGATACATCTTAAACTATCAGTAATACTTCATCCTCTGAAATGGGCTATATTCTACCAAAGCTTGTGACAGAGTAATAGTATTAGTCATTAATGTGTCACAAGACTTTTTCTTGACCTGCCTAGTCAAACTATCACTCCCACCATGACTCTGTGAGGGATCAGCTCCCTGGGATGTTGCCAAAGGCCCAGCGCTTCAAGAATGCCAGCCATCTATTCCCTTTGAGGTGAAGCACATTGATACATTTGTGGTCCCTCATTTAGCAGTCCCACCTCATCTCTGTGCTGTGCACAGGAAAAACATAAACCTGGCCAGACTCTTGTGACAAGAGGCGCAGTGCAGCAACTGCTGCTTCTCCTTGCTCACCTGTGGAAATGGGTAAATAAATAGTGGCCCCATAAAAGGGTCATCTTTCTGCAATCATTTGGTTCCCCAAGCTAGTGTTCTCCACTGCAACTGCAGTTGGACTGCAACTGACCTTTCCTGGACATTGGCCATGGTGTTTGGGGCTGATAGAACTGAAGTTCATTTGGAGAGCACCAGGTTGCAGAAGCCTGGCTTGACATCTCTAGAAGGCAAGGTGGCCTGTTGTGGTGGCCTGAGGGAGCGCAGAGGTTCCCATTGTACTATCCAACTAGGGAAATGAGCAGGGGCAGGGGCAGGGATTTTTCCTACTGCACTGCCTGGAAAGAGAGGGAAGGAAAGCAAGCAGAGCCTTTCAGAAGTAGCTGAAGCTATTCCTTGCAATTATCATAACTCAGGTGTTTCTGTGTGGTTTGCAATAACATGGTATTAAGCAAGGGACATTAAGAAGTAGATGTTGCTTCACTGTTGTAAGCAAGTTAAATCAGCATTTGGATTAGATGCAGTAATACAAATCAGGTCAGGCATTTGCCAGTCTATTTGCATACCATGTGCACACAACCCCTGTATCTGTGTGACCATGTCAGCTCTGGCTTGCTAAGGATTTGTGCAGCATACTTCTGAGAAAGAAGCTACTAGGAGGCAGCTGTTTTGCATGCTTCCTGCAGGAAACATCTTTTGTTAAGGTTCTACTGCATCATGTAGAAATCCTGTGAATGGGACCAGCAGGGTGGAAGAGGGCCCTATTTAGCCATCCATTCATGCCCAGTTTCCAATTCTCCTCCAGCCCTCAAAGCTCCCTTAGCATTATGTAGCCCCTGAACACACATTGGGCTGTTCTTGGATTATGTTGGCCCCTTGTGTGTTTGATATACTTCTGCAAACCTGGGGGTTCTCCTGCACACTACGATAATGCTCCCCTCTTCCTGTTTTAATTATATTGCCTTTGGTACTCAGCAACTGAATTCACAATTACTAGAAACAGTGAAGATGACCTGCTCAACTACAGCATACTTACAAGTCTGCTTTGGACCAAATACTTGTCTAAATAAAAGTGTTTCTGTATGCTGGCTACATGGGGTCAGCGACTAAGATTCTCTGACTTGGAAATGCTGATTCTCTTTAAGAAAAATAAACTCTGTGATAGCTTTTTAAGCCTTTCTAATTGTCTTTTTTCTTTTGCTTACAAACTAACTAGCTGACACATGTCTACTCAGAAGTAAACTGAAGTGACTTCAGTGGAGCTGACTCATGGGAAGGTCTGGAGAGGAAACTCTACCTGTTTGCTTCTGGGTGCAGGGAGAAAGGAGGATGAGAAAAAGTGCTACTGCCTGCTCCCGTCCTTCCAAGCCATAACACCAGCACTTTTCCTCACCCTTCTTGATGGTGGGTAAGCAGAAGGAACTGTCCATTTCCATTCTTCCTACTCCTCCTCACCTGTGCATTGCTAACTGAGGTAAAAATGAACGAGCGCAAAAATGAGGGAAACTTAAACGCCCATTTCCCTGCACATCTCCTGTTCAAGTCCTCACAGGTGCTCTAGTAAAGGCAAACCATCAAGCTAACAACAGCTACTATTAGGGCTAGAGAGTATATCTGTGCCAAGGGAAAATGATGGAAAACCGTGGATACCCCACAAAGGTCTTGTGAAGTGCAGTAGGAGTGAGAAGAGCCAGTGTGGTAAAGTGGTTAAGAGTGATGGATTAAGGTGATCTGGATTGTAGTCCTCACTCAGCCATGGAGCCAGCTAGGTGACTGAGGTCACTGACTCTCAGCCCAATCTACCTCACAGGGTTGTTGTTGTGGGAATAAGATTGAAAGCAGGAGTATGATGTAAGCCACTTTGATTTCTTTAACAGGAAAGGGTAGGATATAAATCTAATAAATAAGGAATTTGGAGTGTGCATATAGAAGCACCATAATGAGATCTCAAGGAAATTAGGTTAGGTATTACCTGTCCTGATAGCTGATAGTTGTTCAGGTGTTTACAACTGACTAGTTTTTTGCTTGACTGTATTTGAATTGTGAGACTGAAAACGCCACTGTTAACAAGCATTTGTAAGTCCAGGGAATAAAACAGGACTTCATGTACCAAAGTCAGCTTGGGTCAGAAAGGGTGAAAAACAAGATCTTGTGAGTTGAATAGCGGGACTAACTTGTTTTGGTATAATAGTTGATTTATAGCTCAGAGTTTACAGTCTTACTGCTCCAGGCTTTGTAGAGGATTCTTTTGGTGCTTGAACGTCCCAGTCTTTTAATCATCAGGGTGTGCTTAATCCTGGCTCGTCTTTTGGAGAAGCTCTGTGGTGGCTGGCTTATTGGTGACACTTTCATCACTGCAAATGTAGGATGGGTTTAGTA